CTGCGACATTCTCCAGAATCCAGTACCGCTGGATCTCAGAGGTTCTCGATTTATCCTCGTCCCAGTTTCGTCTTAAAAGGGAGGTCCGCGCTGTTGAAAGAAAATCAGGCTCGGCGCCCGGGGTCCTGGCGTGCACCTCGCGCGGGTCCTGGGCTAGGGGGCCACATGCGAACCCTACAGGGTTCGCATGCGAACGCTATAGGGGGCCACATGCGAACCCTATAGGGGTATACCCCTACCGGAAGGGTGGGGTTCACTTTGAACGGGAGTTCTCTAGCAAAGTGAACCCCACCCTTCCCCCCAGACATCGTGGGGGGTAGGGGTAGGGCCCGCATGTGGCCCCCTGTGGGCAGGGCAGCCCGCCCTCGGGCTCCGCTGCAGTGCCCGAGCGCCGGGGCCCCCGACGTCGGTGGCGTCGGCCCCGAGAGCTCGAGGCCCGAGCCCCCTCCCAGGGCCCAGACCCCCTCGCGCTAGGAAACATCCACGGCGCGAGGTTTCTCGGGCTTCCAGGGGCCCTTGGCCGGGGCTCGGGGCCGCCGAAGAACGGCTCGGGACGAGAGACCGTTCCCGGGGAAGGAGTCCAGGGGTCGACTTGAAGGCCTCGACCCGCTCCCCGGGGCCGGCCCGTCATCCCGAAACGTTTTTTAACGGCCCCGAGGCCGGGTCAGTGCCCCCGCAGCGTGCGGTGTATGAAGCCGAGAAGCAGCGCCTGCAGGCCGAGCTGCAGGCCGACAAACCGCTGGAGGCCAATCTGCAGGGGCTCACCAGTCAGCTCAAGACCGCTCGCACGAAGCTGTCCAACATCGCTGTCAAAAAGGAGGCTGCTCGTTCGACTCTGGAGAAGGCCAAGCAGGCCCTGGCGCAGGTCGAGCAGGACGAGCAGGATGCTAACAAACACATCGTGGAGCTTGAGGAGAGGTTGCGCCATGTGGTTGGTCCCGCGGTGCAGTTCGATGATAAGTCACCCTCCCTGTCCACCTTCTTGCCAGGCATGGAGGCCACGGTCGAGCAGTTCGATGCCGTGGTCCGCGCGCTGGGCGGGTCGGAGCGGTTCAGCACCGACCTCATCGCCATGCGCGCGCTGGTGCAGAAGCTCAAGGAAGCCCCAGAGGTTACAGCTGCACCCGAACCGCCTCAGCCTGAGGCTCACTCCGCTCCTCCTGAGGCTCGAGAATCCATGGATATCGACGATGATGAGGATCAGGATCGTGCTAATGCTCACGTCGATGGCCTGGACGGTCGCACATGCCGTGAACATCTCAAAGAATGTGGCATTGATGTCGACGTGGGCGGGGAAGATGACGAGCTTGACGACACTAAGGTGCGAGAGCTTCGTGACAAGCTCAAGCGTCATCTGGCCCAAGTTCATTCGCTTACCAAGAAGTTCAAGACCAGTGGTGCGACCGCTGCGTAATGTGATCGGGCGGCTAGCTGTGGTTTTGTTATGTCTATGCTCTTTTCCTGTTGCAATGACGACGCCTACTGCCCAAGATGAGCTGACCTCAGCTCCCAGACGTTCTCTCATGGACGATCCTGACGTTGATCCCTTTCAATTTGATCAAGCATCTGACAGTCAGCCAGTTCTGCCTGACACATGCGTTCAGGTTGCCCCTACTGCGTCTTCTGCAAGGGCAGCCACTGCGACTGCGGGTGCTACGCCATCGTCTTGGTCGCTACACTCACCTGTCACCAGGTGGCAGGCAGAGAGCGCCACATGTGCGCCGATTGCTTTGACGAGCTCGGCCTCTTGTTCGACGAGGGTGGATGGCTCTACTGCTGGTTGCTCCTATGGCATGCATCCTTTAGACCCTGGCAGCACGCACTGCTCACCACGCTCGCCCGATGGGCATCGTGTGGCAGAGGGTACCGACTGTCCAGGGGTTCGTCGACCTGATGTCAAGTTTGTTGGCCAGGCGAAGGGCAAAAACGACTCACATATTGTGACGCTCAACTCGAGATCGCTGGGTCCTCTGTGCGACTACCTGGTGGACAGCACTGCTCATGTGGTGCTGGCGCAAGAGCGCCATGTTCCTGATACCAAGCTTGGTGAGCGTCAGTCGCAAGTTGAAGATACTGGCTGGAGAGGGCTCTGGGGCCCTGCTGTGCCTAATCAGAATGGAGGGCCTGGCACTACAGGCGGAGTTGCAGTATTGGTCAGGTCACATATTCCTATCAAGGCGCCCCCTGGCTGCGCTAGTCATGTACTTGTTCCTGGCAGGCTTGTGGCTGCGCACGTCATGTCCTTTCTGCCTGGAGGGGTTGTCTTCCTGTCGGCCTATCTCAAGGACGGCGAAGGGTACGGACCGTGCAACGCCGAGCTGGTGTGGGAGATCATCGAGTACCTGTCAGTGCTCAACGGCATGCAGATCCCGTGGATCATCGGCGCCGATTTCAACATGCCGCTCACCGCCCTGGACCAGTCCGACTGGATAGCGGCGGCTGGCGGACTGGCTTTCGTTTCTGAGGCGCCCACTTGCAGGCAGGTTTCACCCGGCACGCACATCGATTATTTCATTTGTAGCAGCTGGCTGGCGCCAAAGCTCAACCCCCGCACGTGTGTGTTGGAGGCTGCCACCACCTATCCCCACCTCCCCGTCCAGCTTACGTTGAGGGCTCGGGAGGCGCCTGTTTGGGCTCGTGTGGCCAAGGTCCCGAAAGCTTTCCCGTCGACCCCTCCCATTGGCTGCGCTAGACCTCCTATATACCCGTGGCACGCGGTTTTGTCGACCGCTGCCCCGCAAGTGGACACTGCAGCCAAAGTTGCTGATTTTTGGGATCTCGTCCTCGAAGGGGTGGAAAGAGAGCTGGCCGCCAGGTGGGACCGTGTTGGCTTAGCCGCCGAGGCCTACGTGGGCCGCAGTGGGCCTCTGGAGGTCCACTTCAAAAAGCTTGTCTGGACTCCCCCCAGAAGGAGGACTTATAAGGATCCGCAGGCACGTGCCTGGGCTGTCGCTCTTGGGTGGGCCAAACACTTAGGCGAGGCCAGAGAACATCTCAGTGAGCAAATTAGGCTTTTGCAAGAAAACGATGCTCTGTGTTCTGCTGCGCCTCTGCAATATCGCAAGCTTCTTTCGGCTTTTGAGGAGTTCGATCGTTTCATGGCCAACATCGCCCGCTGTAAAAAAGTCCTAGGTTGCCTTGATTCTGATGTGCGTGATTTCTTCAATGGCGGCTTCGCCGTCCTCGCACGTCCCGATGTGGCCAGAATGCTCACTACTATCTACATTCGTGCGAAGGCTGCAATCGCTCGTGCGGAGAATGCGGCGTCCCAGGCATGGAGGCAATGGGCTAGGGACGCTTTCTCTGCTGGCGCCTCGAAGGCTCACAGGTTCTCAAAAGTGAAGGCCATCCAAGAGGTTTTAAGCAACCAGGCGCGTGAGGCTCCCCACCAGCAGGCCGATGCTGAACTTGTTCCCTGGAAGGAGGTTTGGTTGTCCCACGGTTGTTCCGTTCTCGAGTTTCCGCGAGGGTCCATCAGCTGGCCCATGCTGCCGCGTATCAAGGCCGCTCAGGTGGAGGATGCTGTTCACACTTACCCCATTCGCACTGCTGGAGGCATGATGGGTATTCATCCGAGAGCCTTAATACACCTGCCTAGACAGGCTTTCTCGGCGATTGCTGAACTCTTTAACCTGTGCGAGTTGCACTTAGCCTGGCCTAGAGAGCGTGTTTGTAACGAGATGTGTCGTCTTGCCAAACCAGATGGTGGGACTCGACTGATCGCGCTCGTCTCTTTGCTGTGCCGTGTCTGGGGCAAGGTTCGCAAGCCCATCACCTTTGACTGGCAAGAGCGCAATGACTGCCACGCTGTTTGGGGGACTCGTCGGGGGCACAGCTCCTCAGACAGTGCTTTTGCCCACAACATTGCTGCCGAGATGGCGGCGCTAGTCGGTCATATTTCAATTTCTGTCCCCTTAGACATGATCAAATGCTTCGAAATGGTTCACTCGGAGCAGCTGTTGAAAGAAGCTGAAGCGTTGCACTTTCCAATGCGGCTAGCTTGGATGTTGGTGGATCTGTACAGGCAGCCACGACGTCTTCGAGCTTTCGGCAGCCTATCGGTGCAGTTCTGCTCGCATCAAGGCATCCTTGCTGGGTGCAATCATGCGACAGGCATGCTTTTCCTTCTCACGCTGCGTGCTGTGCGTAGGCTCAATGACATTTCGCCCTGTATAACACCGAGAGCCCTAGTCGACGACATCTCGATTCAGCTCGTCACTTCGGATCCTCGTGATGTGCGTTTCCTGGAGCGTGCTGTGAAAGTGTTCACCGAAGATGCCAAGGTCCTCGGGCCCCACTCCCATGTCAAAAAGTCGGGGCTCATAGCTGGGAACAAAGTTGCTCGGAAGGTTTTCTCGAAGATGGCTATTCGGCTGCATCTACCTGTTCGTAAATTGATGAGAAATCTCGGGCATGAATTAGCTGCTGGTCGGGTTGTTCGCACGCAGGAGAAGAAAAGGCTACATGCTCTCAAACGTCG